TCACCAGCCCGTCACCTTTCCTGCATGACACTTCTACTGTCACAACCACATGTGACCGTAGAGAGATGTAATACAGTAAATCCATCTACTCTAATTCCAACAGAAGGAGATGGCACTGCACATGATTGTGTTCAAGAAGCATATAAAGACTTCCGTCCAAGACCTGATATAAAGGACATGCCACTCTCCGGGGGAATTACAGTGTTTGTTGATGGCTCAGCAGGGAAAGATGAGTTTGGGAAAAATCATGTAGGATACTCGGTTACCACTGTGGATAAAACAATTGAAGCAAAAGTACTTCCAAGTAACTTATCTGCACAAGCAGCAGAATTAGTAGCTTTAACAAGAGCTTGTGAATTGCATAAAGATAAGAAATTAACGGTGTATACTGATAGCCAATATGCATACGCTACAGTTAATTTGTTTTGTCAACAGTGGAAACATCGCGGTTATAAAACTTCTGCGGGAAAAGATGTAAAACATGCAACATTATTAAAGAATTTACTCAAAGCGATAATGTTGCCACAGCAGCTTGCTGTAAGTAAATGTGAAGCTCACACGCGAGGGACAGACAAAGTGTCAACAGGAAATGACACAGCTGATAAAGCTGCAAAAGAAGTAACAGGATTACTGCTTAGTGAAGAAACACAAGATTCTGACGATCTTTTAAAAGAAATGCAGCAACAAGCGCCAAAAGCAGAAAAAGAGAAATGGCTTAAAGAGGGAGCTATATTCAATGGGAGTTTGTACATGGGTCCAAACGATAAGCCAGTTCTACCTAAATCAATGTTTAAATGGGCGGCTTTAGTGAGTCACGGAGTAACCCATGTTTCTTCTGCAAGTATGTGTGGATTGGTGAACAAATATTACACAACATATGGGTACAGTTTATACTCAAAACATTTTTGTAATCAATGTGTAATCTGTATAAAACACAATTCACAAGGAAATATGAGACCAAAAAGGGGGGTTATTTCCTAAACCCACACATCCTTTTGAAGAAATCCACATGGACTTTATCCAGTTAAATAAAGTGAACAATTTGGAATATTGCCTCGTGATTATTGATGCATTTTCCAAATGGGTAGAATTGTTTCCTTGTCACTCTCCGGACGCTCTAACAGTGGCTAAAGCAATATGTAAAAGAATTGTGCCAACATTTTCGATTCCCAGAGTTATCAGGAGTGACAATGGAACACATTTTGTAAATGATGTGATTGATAAGGTGGGAAAAAATCTCAACATAAATCTAAAGAGACATTGCAGCTACCATCCACAAAGTGCAGGTTTAGTTGAAAGAAATAACGGCACTATTAAAGCTAAATTGAGGAAATGCATGGAGGAAACAAACAGACAATGGCCTGAATGCATAGACTTGGTACAGTTAAGTATGCATATAACACCTACTCAGGGTAGTGCCTTGACACCATTTGAAATATTATATGGTAGGTCATACACACTTCCAGATTTACAGCCAAATAAGCAGTTCTCTCCTGATGATAATCCTACGTTGGCTGACTATATGAGAAAAACATTATTGACTAGAGCGTGTCAAGAAACAAATAATGTTCCGAGTCAACCATTTTGTGCACAGGAGCTGCCTGTTCGAGTTGGAGACTGGGTGTTTGTGAAAGTCATCAAACGAAAGTCCTGGTGGGAAGGTCCGCATCAAGTGCTTCTGACAACACCCACTGCTGTGAAGATAGCAGAAAGGCCCACGTGGATTCACCTCTCACACTGCAAAAAGAGAAATCTGCAGGATCTTGTGTCAACCACAGCGGAGGGGAAGGCTGACCTACAAAGGGGGGCAGACGTGCTCGTCTCAACAGTCAGTGAAGCAGGGAGATCCTCCAGTGGTTTAATGCACAAGAAACACAGAGTGAACAACTTGATGATGTGCTAGTAACCTCTCATCTTGTGATATTGGTGAATTGGACTGTTTCAAAAAGGACTGTTTACAAGATGGACTTCAAAGTATTCTCCACTCGACATGGATTTCGATGCAGTAGTGGTCTAATAATGCTGATTACATTGATAGTTATTGTGGTTCCATCACTGCTCTGGTGGGGGAGTCAACAATATAACAATGTCAAGCGTACAGCTAGAGCAGAAATAGATGTAGATCACTATAAAGACAACTACTGGTATCGCATGGCTGAAATAACGGCTCAGGCAAACAATATGTCAGATTGTTATGTTTGTGCATTTGTTCCTCATCATTCAAATTCAAATCCTTATATAACACCACATCCAGTCTCAGCTTTAACAACTATATGCACTATGGCTTTTTATACCTTACATTCAATTGGCATGAACTACTCTAAATATGTGGAATGGCTGCCAAATTGCACTACTCTTTCAATTCAAAAGGTAGCAGATTGGAAAGTTCCATTGAACTTCTCTTTAAGTACAAATATGACTAATGAGAAAGGTGTAACTGTGGCTCGATTTCCAGCCAATTCTCCTCTGTGTCTGAGTAGGAAATGCAATGTGCCGGGGCCCTGGGAGGATGCTAACCAATATGTAGGAACATCCACCTGTGATGATGTTCTGCCTATTGCCACATATAACCAACAAACCTCTGAGGTACACCACAGGTTATACTTCACTACTACTCCGACCGCACGGGAGTTCCCAGTGATTAATTTCACTAAAGTGGGTGAGGTCAGTGGAGTGGCCAACTGGCACTCATACCCAGCTTTTATGGTTGAGGTCCCGGGTTTTTGGGGCTATCCATGCCCGTCAAACCAGGTGTGGGTTTGTGGAGATAAAGTGTATCTGTGGCTTCCAGAGAGATGGTGTGGAACTTGTCATCTGGCCACCCTAGGTCCGGCCTCCTACATCATTTCAAGTGATAACTTGACACAGCACTTGGGCCAGAGGCAGAAAAGGGCTGCTGCCACAGCGGCCAGAAGCCCACCTTTAATCTCAAATGTAAGAGGAGTGTTCATGACGGCATTTCCCATGTATGGAGTTGCATATTTAGGACATAGGATGAATGATATTGCATGGAATTTGGAGAATTTGACTAATATTGTCATGGACCTCACTGAACAAATCAGGGGAGATCCAGAGAAGGAGGCTATGCGTCAAATGATCATGCAAAATCGAGTAGCATTAGATTTTGTTTTATCTGAAACTGGTGGTGTGTGTAAGTTAATTAAGGATCATTGTTGTACGTTCATTCCATCATCCAACTCAAATTATTCACTAATTTTGGATCGGCTAAAAGGTCTTAAAACTGAGATGCTAAGTGAGCGAGACAATGACAACATGAATTGGGACTTATTGTCATGGTTTTCTACTGGAGCATGGTGGCAACTGATATTGAAAATAGCGACACCTGCAATAATGATTTTGGTTTTATTTTGCATATTTGTCACATGTTTGTTGCCATGTGCTAAGTCTTTAACCAACAGAATGATAAACACTGCAGTTGCAGACACATTGTTTTCGGATCAATGTCAAGAGTTGTTAGCTCACACAAATGTAAATGATGATTTTGATATTTCTGTATAAGTGTAAGTTTGTTATGAAGGTATTGCAGAAAACTGAGAAGAGATGTAATGCTGGATGTTGAAACGTTACATTTATATATTATGAATAGGGGGGAATTATGTCAATGGAGTATGTTATTGTGTTATTATCATATTAATAAATGTAACGTTTAGTCTAGTATGGATCTAAAAACTAGTAGTAAGCAGAGTGAAGAATGTGTGAAATCATCCCCCAGCCATTAAACACAGGAAGTTAAAATAAGGCAAGAACACACAGAGAACATCTGTTTAGAGTAGCCTCAGGCTTACTTTGAGAGGGGCTACTGTGTGTCCTGGAGAAAGGAGGTATTGTCTTCACCTAAGGATGTTGAGACATATGTCTTCAATTATCATGTCATGTGACTGTGTGCTTATCACCGATAGTCTGTTTCTGAAGCGGGGTCTTTTGCTTTTGGCTTTCCAGGGAGCAGGACCCAGATTGGAGCAACCAGTCTGCCATTTGTCTGTATCCTGTATTCTGTCTTTTATATATTAAACCTTTTTATATATATCTAAGCAGAATTTGTAGTGTCCATTTATCATCGAAGGAGAAACCGTGGCTGAACCAGCGTTAACAGAAAAGAATGGCAACTTAAGCACTGTCTTCTTTGTTACTTTATGTCATCATTATGACCTGAGCTGTAGTCTGTTTATTGCTTTTCACTCCCTGATCCATTATCTGTTAAATGGCAGGACGACCCTGAACCTGACCCTCAGATCTGGTTTATACGGCTCTGACTTGTGCAAGAGGCTTCAGTCTAGCATTGGCTGACCTCAATCCACGTAAAATAGCTTGAGTCCTGTATCTATAACCTGTCCTCCCCAAGGTTTAGCACCTTTTTCCCACTGTTGTTCTTTGCCAATGTAGGGCGGTCGAAGGACAGAGATGATTCAGGACATCTACGGACATTGATGGACATTGGTCATCCTGCTCCCTCGACCAATGGCTCCTATGTGTTTGTTACTATTACATTTCCTGTGTTTAAACTGTCTCTTGGTGAGGAATAAAATATTTTGTAAAGTCCTCGGAAACGACTGCTGTTGTGATTTAGGGCTAGTCAAAAATAATTCGAATTTACAATCTGCTTTTTAAGTTCAATGTCTTCAACATGAACGTTTCAATAAATCCTTTGTTCCTTTCGACTGTCAGACTGTACAAAAGACTTGGATGAATGTTCTGCTGCTGGAAACCTGAATTTCTCCCACGCGGATCAATAAAGTATCTATCTATCTTCATCTCTAGGTCATGGAATAATCTTCTTAACATTTGCTCATGAACTGATTGACGAGTACCATTTCATCGAGCAGTCCAAAAGCTGGAGTGAGGCTCAGCAGTACTGCAGAGAGCACTTCACTGACCTGGCCACAATACAGAGAGAAGAGGACCTGAGCAGAGTCCACATCCCGGCTGGTCAGGTGGCTTGGATCGGTCTTCATGATGACCCTGCTGCTTGGTTTAAAGTCATGACCAACGCCTCAAACTCCTGGAGATGGTCTGTCACTGGGGCCACCAGCCCTGGAGGCTTCCAGAACTGGAACACACTAGATCCAGATAAATGGCTTGGTAAAGAAGCATGTGTTGTTATTCGAAGTAGCCATTGGGTCGACTTTCTCTGCACTGACAATGCAAGTTGTCTTTGTTTCGAAGGTGAGTGTTTCATGTGATATGCTTTCAATACCACAGTCTTACAGCTAAAACAGAGGATCTAAATAGGTCAACTGTGAACTGGTTTGTCAACACTTCATACTAAGCTTCTATTGTGTTGTGTTTCTGTGTCTAGTTCAGAAAGGTGTCAAGCAGTTCATTCTGGTCAGTGACTATAGTAGGACATGGCTCGGCTGCCAGAGCATGTGCAGACAGAATTACCAGAACCTGGCTCAGATCGAGAGTGCAGAGGAGAACCAGGCTGCGATGACGGCTTCAGCTGGAGTGGCTTATGCCTGGATTGGTCTGTACCGAAACATATGGCTCTGGTCGGACCTCAGCAACAGCAGCTTCAGGAATTGGAAACTTGGATCACCCGACAACATGGATAACAATGAGCACTGTGTCCTCATGAATGAAGACGGCCTAATGGAGGACGACACCTGCTCTGAACCACAAAGCTTTGTCTGTCATGAAGGTATAGTTTCTCAAAGACTTGACAAACACTCAATAGTTTTGTTGCCACATCTCAAAAGCATTAGGAGGTGAGGTTAAGGCCCAGGCTCACATGACCCTCCAGGCTCACAGCTTTTAACAATTCAATCTGAAGAGACTACACAGACACAACATTTCATTACATTTTTTATTCAATAGTTTGTTTAGCCCTAGGCCACTTTGTCTGTGACTATCATTCCATGTGTGCCGCTTATAATTTCCCGGGACCTTGGTACTGGTGGTGGCATGAGGTCCATACTGGTGGTGGCATGAGGTCCATACTGGTGGTGGAATGAGGTCCAGGTACTGGTGGTGGCATGAGGTCCAGGTACTGGTGGTGGCATGAGGTCCAGGTACTGGTGGTGGCATGAGGTCCATACTGGTGGTGGCATGAGGTCCAGGTACTGGTGGTGGCATGAGGTCCAGGTACTGGTGGTGGCATGAGGTCCAGGTACTGGTGGTGGCATGAGGTCCAGGTACTGGTGGTGGCATGAGGTCCATACTGGTGGTGGCATGAGGTGCAGGTGCTGGTGGTGGCATGAGGTCCAGGTACTGGTGGTTTCATGAGGTCCATACTGGTGGTGGCATAAGGGTAAAGTTGAGATGAGAAAGTGGGAAGAAGGTCGAGGAGGAGGTGGTTATGAAATGTGAGCAGATGAAAGTGACTCCAGAATGACTTCTTACGAGGCTTGAAAAAGGTTTGATGTTGGAAGTTTCCGCTTTTAAACAGCTGTTTTAACTAGCGTAGGTTGGCAGCGCTGTGTGATTGGTCGAGGGTGAGAGGGCTGCATTACACAAGAGTCTGGCCAATAATTGATGTCAATCTTACAGAGCTGGGAATTATAGCCTTCCTTTTCTTCCAGAACTTATTGTCTTTTGGAATCCATCGGTGAAATCTACACGTTTGTGCCCCAAACATATGAAATATCTCACATCACAGCCCGCTCAAGTTCAGAAGTGAAAATTCACAGACTATTTCCCCATAGGCGTTTTTAAATCTTAATATTTAGTTTTATTGTTGTAGAAAAGCTCTAGTCTCACTGTTCAATCCAATCCATATTTATATAGCACATTTCATAAACAGTTTCCAAAGTGCTGCACAATAAAATGCTAAATAAAACAAATCCATAGTAAAACAGTAAAATAATAAAAAATCAAATATGAAAAACCGTGTGTGCAAATACGTATAAATATAAAAATAACAAGAAAAAGGACGGAATAAAGTAAAATAAAATGAAAATAAAAGGACCATACAACTCACGCAGTGTTAGAAGCCAGAGCATAAAAATGGGTCTTAAGACGAGACTTAAAGGAACAATATGTCAAAATCTGGCCAAAAGTGGTACTGCAGTCACAGTCAATATTGTCCTCTCCCACTCTCCCTGACTCAGGTTGCCAGATACTCACCAAATCCAGCAGCAAACACAGGGAATTATTTTATCAGTTGTTTGTCTGTCTCCATTCACATATATTTTATTATTTGGACATTTGAGATAAAAAACACAAAACAAAATAAAAGCAATGTATTTATTGATTAAATGTGGAAAATTTGTTCTGTCTTCTTATGTTTACGGCTTTTTAGGTTCTTCTAATAAGACATTTAAAGCAAAAAGAGCTAGTACTGCTTAAATACCTGACATGTTTCGGCGGTACACTTCCGCCTTCATCAGAGGTGACACGTGATGGTGTGACGCGTCTCTTATCAGCTGTTGTTGCCGGAAGCAGTCAGTCTGACAGATCCATCAGACTGACCACGTCCCCCGCCGCGCTGTGGTCTCTGGAGAAGTGAATCCCAAGTGTGAGCCAAGGTGAAGGCCCCCTCGTCTCTGTTGATGGTCCGTGTTCCCCGCTTCCTGATTTCGATCGCCTCTCGTATCCATCTTTTGTATTTATGTTCTTCTGTGCGGGGAACACGGACCAGTACTAGCTTTTTTTGCTTTAATTGTCTTATTAGAAGAACCTAAAAAGCCGTAATTATAGATTATCCAAAATAAATAAGTAATTGATGTCCAAAATAGGAGTGGGAAGAATGGATGTTGGAACGTATTTCAGAGTATCAACATCAGGGTTTGCTCCAGAGGACATCACCCTTACATTTTATTTATTCCCTATTTTTTAGAATAAGTCCCATATCAAAAAGAGACTAACATTATTTTAATTGGGTACATGTGGTCTTAAATGATTATTTTTACAATTAAGCCAAAATCTGCAAAAAAACGTCTTGACCTTTGTCTTTTACCGTTTTTAGAGCAATCTGTCATAGAATGTGATAACATTCAATTAAATACAAAAAGAGCGTTCCACAGCTTTGGTCCAGCCACAGAGAAGGCCCTGTCCCCGGGTTTTAAGTCTCGTCTTCGGTACCACGAGCTGGAGCTGGCCTCGGACCTCAGCGCGCGGGGCGGGAAGCACTGTTGTAAGTTTCAACAGACCAAAGTTCTGCTGTTTGAGGTCTGTTGGGTTTCCATCAACCATCTCTCTCAATTGTTGGATGGAATTATGTTCCATTCCTCCTGATCGTCATGAAGCATCTTTGTGTCTGTGTCTGTTTAACGCATAATAAATAATTTCTTACATCGGCTTTCCCTTCTGATTGAATGAATGAAACCACGTTATTGCAGCATGTTTACATGAGTGTTGATGTGTCGGCAGAAGAGTATTGTCCTGACTCAGAGCTCATGTTTGCAGTGAAACAGAGACGCTCCGTGTTGCAGACACAGATGAGAATCCAGACTGACGTGGACCTGAGTGATGCAGCCGTCTCTGAGCAGCTGCTCAAACTGGTGCGTCCATGTCTTATGTTCAGTCTGTACAACCTCACTCACTCTGATTCTTTCTGAAACAGCTCCAAGAAAGACTCCAGGAGAAAATCCCTGGGACTGACTTCAAACTGCGATGGAGCAAGGCACCAGAAAAGAAAGACTCTACATAAGTTTATAAAAATATGAACTTGTTGACATGTGATAGATTGAGTTACGTTTATGATACAGCTTCATCTTTAGGCCTCTACTTCCTGTTTGCCCTAAACTAGAGAAAACCATCTGAAACTCGTAGGCAGGTTGCTTGTCCATAAAGGACTTTTATTTATCTTGATTGTTGTTCCTACTTTGCTACTGACCTGGATTTGTTTCAGCTCCATCCACCATGTCCCCTGCCCATCTGTCTAAATGCCCTGTTTTCAAACCGTTTCAGACTGTTTTGTCTTTTCTGTTATTAATGGTAAAATATATAGGTTTCCGTAGCAACCATCAAAGAAACACATCTGTTCTGTCACGGCACAAAGTGAAAGTTATGGTGAAGGTTGTTGTTTTTCTGGGTGGATCATCAAGACCAGTGGTTCTCAAAGTGTGGTACTTTGAGGTGCACACTTTGGGGCTCCCTCTAGTGGTACGCCAAAGAATCACTGAAATAAAAAATAAAAACTTAAAAAACAGGAAAGTCCCATTGAGAATTAGAACATCTTTTTCAAGGGAGTCCTGGACAAAAATTACATACAATTACAGATTATTAAACAGTTAGATACAGATTACAAAACAGTCACACACAATTTCATAAAATTACGGATTATAAAAACTGTTACATTACAATGAGGTCGTCTCAGTCTCAATCTGGATCTAAAAGCATTCAATGAAATAGATTCAGATAATTTCCAGTCTTTTTGCAACACGTTCCATGAAGAAGGAGCAGAGAGCAACAAAAGATCATTTGATCCAAACCAAACAAACCAATATCTCTTCTGTGAGTAAATGATCCAAACCATATGAACATGTCTCTGAGTAAATGATCCAAACCATATGAACATGTCTCTGAGTAAATGATCCAAACCATATGAACATGTCTCTGTAAGTAAATGATCCAAACCATATGAACATGTCTCTGTGAGTAAATGATCCAAACCATATGAACATGTCTCTGTAAGTAAATGATCCAAACCATATGAACATGTCTCTGTGAGTAAATGATCCAAACCATATGAACATGTCTCTGTGAGTAAATGATCCAAACCATATGAACATGTCTCTGAGTAAATGATCCAAACCATATGAACATGTCTCTGTGAGTAAATGATCCAAACCATATGAACATGTCTCTGTGTGTAAATGATCCAAACCATATGAACATGTCTCTGTGAGTAAATGATCCAAACCATATGAACATGTCTCTGTAAGTAAATGATCCAAACCATATGAACATGTCTCTGTGTGTAAATGATCCAAACCATATGAACATGTCTCTGAGTAAATGATCCAAACCATATGAACATGTCTCTGTGAGTAAATGATCCAAACCATATGAACATGTCTCTGAGTAAATGACAGATGTACGAGGGCAGCAGACCAAGCCTTAGAAACTAAAGTGCAGTGTCCAAACCTTCTGTGAATCCAGAATATCACTCACAGTGAGTCTTTGCAGTTCATAATGAATGGAACATTTTAATTGAATCATTATTTGAGTACAGTTTTTAGTTTTTTCCCTTTATTTAAGTCTTACTGTTGAAACTGTGTAAAATGTTAGAATGGCTGACAACATTAAATATACTTCTTTAGGAATGAAACCTCCGCCTTGTTTTTGATGAATACTTAGGCTCACTACGCTACTGTGCTGTGTTGGTCATTTGTGGTGGTACTTGGAAAGGCAAGTATTTTCTCAGGTGGAGCTTGGTGTAAAATGTTTGAGAACCACTGATTACTGTCACTCATTCTGGCTAACTCATCCACGTTAGCATGGATCAAGTTTTCACTTTCTGCACATGCACGCATTAATACAATACAATTTATTCTTAGATCAGAGAAACAAAAGTTAAGACGCAGCATTCAGGTGTAAACGATTGGCTTCACACATATTCTTTTTTAAATGTTTGCTTCTAGTAAAAGGATTTTCACTTTCTGGTTTTTTTCGAGTCTGACGTAGCTGTAAAAGTGCAGTTCTTTTTGGAAAGTGAGCGATGGCAACAACGACTTGTAAACAGAGCGTGCACGAGGAGAACTGGGCTCGTGCTCTTTCCTAAAATTTGGAATTATCCTCCTTGTACACCTTTAACACCAGAGAAAATGCCCTTATAAGGAAATTGGCTCCAGCTAGCTTAGCATAGTATAGCCCTGCGCTCTGGAGCTGCAGGGCTTTGGGCTGTTCCGTGTGGATCGCCATTGTGCGCTCTCAGGGAAGAGCAGAGGCGGAGGGCTGTGTTTCTACGTCAATACAAACTGGTGTAACGATGTGACAGTGATCTCCAAGCACTGCTCTCCTGCTCTGGAATATCTTTTCATTCATTGTAAACCATGTTACTCCCCTCGTGAATTTGTTTCATTCATTCTTGCCTCTGTTTACATACCGCCATGCGCGGACGCGCACGAGGCTCAGCGTGCACTCGCAGAGCAAGTACTGTGTATGGAACGTTTATACCCGGACTCTCTGATTATTATCCTGGGGGATTTTAATAAGGGAAACTTGAGCCAGGAATTACCCAAATACAGACAGTTTATCAAATGCCCGACCAGAGAGGAGAACACTCTGGATCACTGCTACACCACTGTGCGCGGAGCTTTTCGCGCTGTTCCCAAGGCAGCCCTCGGCTTCTCAGATCACTCCATGATACATCTGGTTCCTGCTTACAGACAGAGACTAAAGCTCTCGAAACCTGCAGTGGGGAGCTCCAAAGTGTGGTCTGATGAAGCTGTGGAAGAGCTGCGCGCATGCATGGAATCTACAGACTGGAACCTTTTCAGAGCTGCCACAGATAGTTTGGATGAATATACGGACACTGTGACGTCATACATTCACTTCTGCGAGGATAGCATCATTCCAACAAGGACCAGGGTCATCTATAACAACGACAAACCCTGGTTCACTGCTAAACTCCGGCAGCTCAGGAAAGCAAAGGAGTCTACTTTCAGGGAGGGGGACCGCAGCGGCTACAAAGCAGCTAAATATCAGTTCAGGAGAGAACTGAAAGCAGCCAAGTCCCGGCACAGAGAACGACTACAGGAGCAGTTTGGTAACAACGATACTGCTTCTGTCTGGAGGGGCCTACGGGAGATCACCAACTACAAACCCAAAGCCCCCCCCTGTGCTGACGACCACAAGCTAGCTTCAGTCGCTTTGATGCTGCCCCTGACACCTCTCCCTCCCCCACCCCCCACTACTCTAACGACCCACCCATCAGCCCTGCCCCCAGCCTAACAATAGCCACTAAAGAGATTAAACAACTCTTCTTGAGGCTGCACCCCCGCAAAGCTCCTGGCCCGGACCACGTGTCTCCGGGCCACTCTGAGACACTGCGCCAGTGAGCTTACTCCTGTGTTCACGGACATTTTCAACACCTCTCTGCAGTCCTGCCATGTCCCGGCCTGCTTCAAATCCTCCATCATTGTCCCCGTCCCGAAGAAGCCCAGGATCACAGGACTCAATGACTACAGACCTGTAGCACTTACGTCTGTTGTCATGAAGTCATTTGAACGCCTGGTTCTCTCCCATCTCAAGTCCTTCACCTCCCCCCTCCTGGACCCCCTGCAGTTCGCCTACAGAGCCAACAGATCTGTAGACGACGCCATTAACCTGGCCCTCCACCACATCCTACAGCACCTGGACTCCCCGGGGACCTACGCCAGGGTCCTGTTCGTGGACTTCAGCTCTGCCTTCAACACAATCCTGCCATCCCTGCTCCAGGACAAGCTCTCCCAGCTCAACGTGCCCGATTCCACCTGCAGGTGGATCACTGACTTCCTGACGGACAGGAAGCAGCGAGTGCGTCTGGGGAAGAATGTCTCGGACTCTCGGATTATAAATACAGGAGCCCCACAGGGCTGTGTTCTTTCTCCCCTGCTCTTCTCCCTGTACACCAACCACTGCACCTCCAGCCACGACTCCGTGAAGCTGTTCAAGTTCGCGGATGACACCACCCTCATTGGACTAATCTCCAACAACGATGAGTCCGCCTACAGGAGGGAGTTGGACCGGCTGGTGTCCTGGTGCTGTGGTAACAACCTGGAGCTGAACGCCCAGAAGACAGTGGAGATGATTGTGGACTTCAGGAAGAGCACTGTTCCCCCGCCCCCACCCTCCGTGATGGACTCCCCCATCACCTCTGTGGAGTCCTTCCGTTTCCTGGGCACCACCATCACCCAGGACCTCAAGTGGGAGCCGACCATCAGCTCCCTCATTAAGAAGGCCCAGCAGAGGATGTACTTATTGTAAATAGTAACTGTAACTCTATTTTAAATTTAAATTTATTCTTTAGAAGGGTTTTTTATTCTTATTTTTATTATCTCTTTTTGACTGTTGCACTGAGCCAAAGCAATTTCCAAGTCTGTGACCTCCTGTTACTTACGTGGCAATAAAAATGATTCTTATTCTGATTCTGATTCTGATTCTAGCATTCAGCAAACACTCCTGATATTCAGCCTTGGGGTTGAACCTACAGGACAAAGTGGCGTGTGAGCAACGTCTTTAAATATGACCTAAAAATCTTCAGCAAAGTATTTTTATATGAAAATATGCAAACAATGCGAGGACAGTCAGTTCTGTTCTCTATTTGGATATGCATTTAGGGAAAATCAAATACATGCACCGAGCACTACATTTATCCTACAACGACTGACGCCATCTGAGAGTGTCCTGGTCACAGTCGTGTTTGGACTTCACCAGAAGCTTCCAAGATATATTGTCGTGGGACTAGTAGATCACAGAGCATTTGTCGGAGCAAGAGAACTGAATCCATTCAATTTTCAACACGCAGATCTTGAATATCTCTCTCTAAGTGTGAATTCTAGATTCATCCCATCGAAGCCATATCAGCCAAGCTTTAATACTCATCAGAGCGTCCGTGAATTTTACAATCTTTATTTGGGAACAAACAGACATATTAGAGACTCGCCACTCTGCATCGACCGTGAAAACTTTGAAAACGGGTACTCTCTATTTTTGTTTAATCTC